CGTCATAAAATATTAAAATAATTGACCCCATTGTTGTCAGCTCCCAAGGGGGGTCTCAAACAGTACAAAATTTGAACCGGAACTATTTTGTGGAATCTCTAAAAGCCTGGCCCGATTGACCCTTGAAACTCTTTATCATATTAAATCATTTAAGATCTGGTCTGATACATCAGGCTTAAAGAAGTCCTGGGATTAAGTAAGAATAAACTGCGTATTTTGCCAAGAGCCCTGACTGGACACTGTTGTCTAAGAAAGCACATTTCACCTCAATGATGTGCTGATTCTGTTTATTAACGGGAAAAACATATCTGAACATCCTAACTGAGTGTGGGCCCTTAATGCGCAAACGTAACACTTATCTGGGAAAATATGTACTTCGCTCATAAGAAGTGAAATTGCTTAGCAACTCCTTGAATTTATTAAAGACATAGGACTTAGCAGTGTACTGTAACCATAACAGCGATCACAATAGATCTTATAGGTCGCAGTGATACTGATGATCTTTCTAGACCTGCATAGCTGATTGCACAAGTTAATAATAAATACCATCAGGTTGACTGTGTGTTCGTTAGTCATCCTTATTCCATATAAAAAATCTGTACGGACGAAGCGGTGTCAAAAACGGTTTTTATACGTGGTAGAGCCATGGTGCAGCTATATTAATAGTATAGTTGTAGCACGAATGGGTCGGCTCGACCGGGGAAGGACTACGCTCTCACAGAATATCAGCGTAAAATAGCAGCTTAATGCTGCTTTGTTTCGTATGGTGGGTGTAGAGAACCGTAGACCCTTTTTACTGGAAAAGAGGCATACTATCTTAGTCCTCACGGCTGACAACGATCTGCATTTTAATTCGCAAATAAAGATAGATGTAGACGTTTATGGGCCACAGCAAACACTTACCATCGGGTGGACTGTGTGCTTCATTGTCACCCTTATCTATATAATTAAAAATTAAAAATTTTGTACAACCGACTTCAATATAAATTATTAAGAATAACTCAAAAACCTTTGGTCAGACCTTGATAAAATTTATATGAGACCATAAGTAAAAAACTAGCTTTCAAATAAAAAAGAATCATTGAAATCGGTTTACCTATTAAAAAGTTATGAGGAACACACATAAAAAATACAGTCGAATTGAGTACCGTTTCCTTTTTGAAGTCGGTAGAAAAAAGCCTGTTTTAATACATAAATCATTACCATTAATTTTGGTGGTTATGGTGCATGATTAATTTAAATACTTTTGATATTAGATTAGATCTGTTTTAACAATTGTTCGAACAAAGTATGTATTTTATAATAATTTGTAAACGATTTGACTTAAAAGTAAATAGACAACGTAATTGACTTAATGCGGGTCATGAGATTTCATCACATTTAATTCACTTGATAAACATAATCTACGTATGAATCAAATACAAAATTACACTGAAATGATAATCTTACTTTATTTAACGAAATAATTACAAATTGTTTGTTTCCATTCATTTCTGTTATAAATGGCAACTTCTCTTCTTCTCTGCAGTTAAAGGCGAAACATTCAGAACATAACAAAGGTACTTATACTATTATATTATAATCATTATTTATATTTTGACTGTAAAAATAAAAGGTAAGATCTCCCCGTCAGTCATGTGGTAAAGCCCAGGAAGCGAGAAGGAAACCGTATTATTACGGATCTACTTTATCTATTGCAGTATCGTTCGGAAACATCAATTGTGTGATTTAGGCTTTTGGACTGCGTTGTGGAGATGGGAATAGGTGTGACACTTTCCACCAAAGCTGCACGAGGAAGAAGCTCTTTACAGTATATTTGTGCAAAGAAGTCTGTTGATTGATAGTCCAGTAGTTCATTTAGCTAACTAACCACTAAAACCTCGCACGCTTCTTTCGCTCGCATACATCGCATACATCTCTTACTTGTTTTGTAAGTATAAATACCTCGCTCTGATAAGCTCTTTCCACAAGAGCCACGCTAAGTGAGGCTAGGGAAATAAATTAATTCTAATGATGTATTTTTTCCTCGCGTACCACTTAGCACAGCTCTGGTGGAAATGCAGCCTTATCCTGTGAATGTAAATAGTTTATCCTGAAAACAAAATTCACCCACAACAGGGAACGGAATTTCCAAGACAGTACTACACTTCTCAGAAATTTAAATCTGCTCTTCACCGGTGGTCGCTGTAGACCACAATATTTTACATAAGTTTTGTCAACTCTTAAAATGTGAATGGTTGATTATTTTATCCCGCCAACACAGACATTGTTAGTTATTTTTTTTTTCAAATTAGTAAAGTATTATTGCAGCGCAAATCCGAGCAGGTCTAAAACTTTGCAATTTTTGGTTAAGGGTAAGTTTTGCCAACCACATTTCGTAATGCAGCTGAATCATAAATGAGACTCTAGACATTGGAAATTTGCATATGCATTTTTTTATAGGTGAGGGGACAAATGAGCATGCGGCTCACCTGATGGTAAGTGACTACCGCCGCCCATGAACAACTGCAACACCAGGGGAATTGCAAATTTGTTTCCGGCCTTTTAAAAATAAAAAAGTAGGCTCTTTTCTTGATGGTCCCTAAGTCGTATCGCTTTGGTAAAATCGCTGGTGGTGATCACGCTACTCCTGCTTCCTAGGCGACAACACCTAGGAAGTAGGATTACCACAAAAGACGCGTCAGAACTGGTGCCAACTCTGGAGCGCACGTCCTCAGCACAATTGGCGGGATTCCGTCAGGCCCACTCGACTTGTTTATGTTCAGGGAGAGGAAGCTTTGTATACCGAGCACTGTGTGAATCGCACATCAGGCATAGAGTATCCACACTGCGGGATGGTCGGCGGTGTGTTTCCCCCGTCATCGAGAGTCGAGCTGGATGCAAAAAAATAATACCTAAAAGGTTTGCTTTATTTTTTGAGGCACGGGGCAAGTAAGTCGTCCTCCCAATGCAGAGATGGTAGTGATGACTTACAGAAATTCCCTTGAACAGCCTTGACAAGAATGCACGGATTCCCGAAATAAAGCGAACTAATTTCTCGCCAATGCTGCCAATGTGCTCATACTTTGCCTTGGCAATAACTCTTTTGAAGGACCCGAAGGCGAAGTTATACCCCTTTTTAGCATGCTGGTGTTCACATCCCGAGCCGCCGAAGCCTCAGCCCAGGCCTGATAACACTCCTGCCTACTGCGTAATGCAGTCTTACAGGAGCGACCAAACCAAGGCTGAAATCCACCTCCGAAGTGTACCACAGATGATGGAATAAATAGTTCTATTCCCTGTAGCACCTGGCCACCTGCACTAACCAATCGAAATGTAGAAGCAAAGTTTCTTCTTTACGTTGGTATTATGTGAGGTCGTGGTACTGCCCCGGTTCGAGCCGGCCCATCTATGCTACAGCAGAAGCTGCAGCGTGGCTCTACCACTGTTAAATGCATTCTAAACATTGAATCAAGGACCAATATATTAAGCACTAGCTGTGCCCCGCGTATATCACGCGTCTGCTCCTCGCGACATGTGAACTTCGAGAGAGACATCACGACTGACGGTTGCTGAATTAACAAAGATTTAATAAGTGAAAAATGTTACTTAAATTACACGGTAAACCTAACTGGTGGTTATGCATGGTACATGTTCTGATATAGCCTTGAATACGAAGTTATTTATTTGGATATAAGGACTAATACTAATGTACGATTAATGTGGCCTAGTTTGTACCGGCCATAGATTAGTACCGGCATTACTATTGCATATTTTAACGTGAAAAAGTAGTTATTGTGACATAACTGTAATAGTTAAAGATATAGTATTGCAGACTTTTTTGTAGATATTGATGACCTCTATAAAACTGTAGTACATCACTTTGCTTTATTGTCAATAGTTTCCACAGCGTACGACGTACGTAAGGATTATTTTTGGTATTTTTTTTCACATCTTTGGTTACATTAAAGAAGTTCTCATGCGGATTCCTAACTTTTTGGAAAATATTCTATCACCTTTGTTCATCAGAATTTTTCAAAACGGTGTAGCAGTTTCGGAGCCTATTCAATTCAAACAAACAAACAAATCTTTCCTCTTTGTAATATTATATTAGTGTAGTTGAGAGGTAGCAATACCAGTGCGAAGCGAGGGTATCGGTGCTGTGTACACTAATCCAACTAACCAGCGAGGTGAATATGGGTGAATGTTTTAAGTATATAATAAAGTATATAAAAATATAATTGTTTTAATTATGTTGTTATAATGAATATTACGAGTAATTTATTATTGACTATTTAAAATTTCTTTATCAGGCATCGGTAACATTGTTTTGCTTTTGCTTTTGCCTCCTCCAAATCCTTCCACATTTTTTTTATAGGATAAGGATGACAAGCGAGCACACAGTCCACCTGATGGTAAGTGGTTGCAGCGGCCCATAGACATCTACATCTATCCTCTATTAAAAATCAAAATACAGATGCGTTGTCACCCGTGAGGACTAATATGGAATGCCTCATTTCCAGTAAAAAGGGTCTCCGGTTCTCTACACTCACCATACGAAATATAGCAGCGTAAAGCTGCTATTTTACGTTGGTATTCTGTGAGAATGTGGTCTTTTCCCGGTCGAGCTGACTCATTCGTGCTACAACTATACTACCAATATAGCTGCAGCATGGCTCTACCACGTAAAGTCCACATTTCGCGATCGTAGCTTTTCCTTAAGAAACGGTCGTCCTCTCTTGCTATTGCCCTCAATAGGATGTCATTTAACTACTAATTTAGCCGATTTTTCTTTTATGTTTCTAATTAAATGGTCAGTCCCCAAACTGGTTTATTGTGATATCTTTAAGGGGCCAATGTTATATCCACGCCTTTATATGTTTACTACAACATGGATGTTACTACATAATATATGTTACATCAAATTTGAAACAAAAGTTATTAATGTGCATATACGTGTAGACAAAATATTAAAGTGAAGTTATCAACCATGTTTTTGTTTTTTTCCACAGTTTAAAACAATGTACTTCCTTCGTTTTGTGGTCGCAGCATTTTTGGTTCCAGCTATATTATGTTACGATGCGGAGTACGACAAATTGGACACTGATAAAATTCTTGCAGATGATGCATTGTTCTCTTCATATATTGATTGCTTTCTGGATAAGGTACCCTGTACAGCTGAATATTCTAGTGAATTCAAAAGTAAGTGAAGTTTTATATGTATATATTTATATCTGTGTATTTTATATTTTCATGTTTTTAAAGTGGTGAAGTTTCGAAATATCACTCATCATAAAAATTATTACACTCTCAAATGGAATTAAGAGAATATATAGGCTACAAAATTTCAAGGATATGTTTTAAACGAACTATTGCTGTCGCTCTGTGCTCGAAGGACCTACTAGAAAACAGAGAGACAATTGCAGCTCACCTATACTACACTTACAAAATTAATACCTTTATAATACCTACAAAATATCACGAAATCTTCTGTTTTGGAAAACTGAATTGATATAATTTTTTTTCGAGAACAGTATAAGAAGGATTACGACTGTTTGTAATTTTTTCTTTCTTTTATATTTGTTAAATTTGTATGCTGGATGTCTAATTACAGTTTTACTACTTTTAGAAGGTTCCAAGTTCTTAAAATCTTTAATTTAAAACACAAACTGTAGGAACATGGCAGTGGTAGTTATAGATTTTATTGTAAAAAAAAAACCTATATTTGCTTTATTGTTGTTATATATGGAGAAATAGAGGAACACGTTTTTATGGACAAAACACCGCACGGATTACTTCATAAATATATGGATCTGTCGTGTTGCTGTATTTGTCAAGCTTTGTGAAATTCCATCCGCAAGGGAAGTTGCAGGGGCGTTAATTAAAAAAAATCACATTTCTAAACTATAGTACTTATAGGTATAAAACTTGGCCAGAATATTCTTTTGGCATGCTAAAAATTACCACATATCACATTACATTTTTTAACGCCACTCACAAAGAGCAGTGCCCCGCACTGTTCTTTGTGAGTGGCGTTAGAAAATCTCCATATATAAAAATAAGTTGCTGTCTGTTAGTCTCGATAAAACTCAAAAACGGCTCTACTGATTTTGATGAAAATGTTTGTTTGTGTTTGAATGGGTCCCTAGATGGCTTAGATTGCCAGTTGCACTCGGTAGATGGCGCTGTTGTCGAGATCCAGAAATCTACCGTGCGAAGCCAGGGCGGCCCGCTAGTTCAGTATAAATATATCAGTATGTCAATCAGCTACGCTCTAAGATATGAATTTAAGACGTGATATCATTCTACGCTTATGGACTACTGCTTTTGTATACGATTGTTCAAGAATGTCTAAAGGAAAAACAGTTGTTATGTTTATAAATAACCTACACTTTACCAAGATAATATGTTAGACCTACATATATAATATGCTTGCCATTTTTTAAGTAGACTTAAGGTACAACAGAAGCTGCATTCGTCCTCCTGGGCATAGGTCTCTTCTTATTTTCGAGAGAGTTTTGGAGCAATTGGTCTTCAGAAGTCCTCGCAGTATTTTATTTCTCATGCATGCAGGTTTCCTAACGATGTTTCCTTCATCGTTGTATACGTAATAAGTCAGTACCTTAATTGCAAATAACAATTTTATTGGTGCCTGCGGAGATCAAGCCCGGGTGAGTCGCGTACTATGAAATTTATTTTAATGTACGTTAATGTGCATTTACGTAATGTAGCTATTTAGTACTAACATTATATAGTAAGTTTCTATTTTTGTCGGTTTTTTTCACATTTTGTATCATCTCACTCTATACAAAATGTATATAAAATGTATGTATCTTGTTTTTAATTGTATATAAAATCCAATTGTGTATGACCTAAGCGCATTAACTTTAACATTAAATTACGAACCTTATACTTCCAATTTTCCGATAATTTTATGTCAAACTTCAATTTCAAAATAAGTTTGAAAAATCCAAAAGTGCACGACTCATAATACTCATATGATCATCATATCATCATTCACTTCGCTCTTTATCTCTCTCTCTCTCTCTCTTGCTCTCTCTCTCTCTCTCTCTTGCTCTCTCTCTCTCTCTCTCTCTCTCTATATATATATATATATATATATATATATATATATATATATATATAAGAGAGAGAGAGAGAGAGACATAAAGAGCGAAGTGAATGATCCAGATGGTGAGGATGGTATCGTGAATTTTGACGCGATGTGCGTTCGTGAAATTTGGCGGCTGGAATTAATCCTAACAATTTCTCAGAGCACTCCCCGTGGTAAATTCTATAGAAAGTGCAAAGAGATGCAACATCTCTACGCAGTGCCAGTGTATCGAGACTATCAGAAAGAACTCGGTCGTCGACGATCCGAACCGCTGTGCGCTGGATGTGGTCAAGTGGAACGAGCTGGCACTGGGGTGCCCCGGCCCAGAGATGAGAACAGTATTCCATTTTCGGCCGAACTTGCGCTTTGTAAAGTTGCAAGCGATGTGCCGGCATGAAATACTGTCTCGCTCTGCTGAGCACGTCAAGCTTTTTAGAGGCCAATTTGGCCTTCCCTTCCAAGTGACCACAAAACTGCACACTATTCGATATGTCGTCGCCGAGGATGCCGATGCTAGCTGAGGCAGCAAGGCGAGTGCCTTGAAACTGAGGAGATACGACAAAGGGGTTCTTTTTAGCGGTAAACGCGCAAACTTGTGTCTTCTGGGGATTGAACTGGACTAGATTTAGTCGCCCCCAATCCGAGACTTTGTCCAGCAAAGACTCGACTTCAGACACAAGTTTGTCCCAGTACTCGGCGACGTTTTCCCGAGAAATATTAGCACGGCCGGTATATAAGGCATCACCAGTGCTGTCGTCTGCATAGCAATGAATGTTACCAGTTTGCAACATATCATTGATATGCAGGAGAAACAGCGTTGGTGATAGCATGCAGCCTTGTGGAACACTAGCGTTGATAGGCTTGAGATCAGAGCATGCACCGTCTACTACGACCTTGATGCTTCGATCAGCAAGAAAACTGGTGATCCATTTGCACAATTTCTCGGGAAGCCCATACGAAGGAAGCTTCGAAAGAAGCGCTTTGTGCCAGACCCGATCGAAGGCCTTAGCTATGTCCAAACTAACAGCCAATGCCCCCCCCCCCCTTGGACTCTACTGCCTCCGACCGTCTATGAGTCAGGTAGACCAGAACATCACCAGCTGACTGACCCCGACGAAAACCGTACTGGCGGTCACTAATCAGCTGGTGATCCTCAAGGTACCTCATGAGCTGGCAGTTTATAATGGATTCCACTTTTTTGGAGAACAAGGAGGTGATGGCGGTAGGCCTGTAGTGGGACGGGTCTGAGCGGTCACCTTTTTTAGGGATCGGGTGGACCAAAGCTGTCTTCCATGAATTCGGGACTACCCCATGGGAGTAATAGTATCAGAAAAGACGCGTTAAAACCTGTGCCACTTCCAGAGCACACGTCTTCAACACAATGGGAGGGACTCCATCAGGCCCACTCGACTTCCTGACGTCCAGGAAGAATAGTGCTTTGCGAACCGAGCGCTGTGTAAATCGCACATCCGGCATGGAACACTCACACCGCGGAATGGTCGGTGGTGTGTTACCCCCCCGTCGTCTAGAGTCAAATTGGACGCTAAGAGAGAGCTTAACAGATCGGCTTTCTCCTTTGCGGCATGGGCCAGTGAATTGTCCTCTCTGTGCAGAGATGGAAGAGATGGCTCACAGAAGTTCCCTTGGACAGCCTTGGCGAGAGACCAAAATGCACGGGTTCCCGAACGAAGGCGATCAAACTTCTCGCCAATTCTGCCGATGTGCTCAGACCTTGCCTTTTCAATGACGCTTGTGAAGGACCTGGAGGCGGAATTATACTTCTTTTTAAGAGCACTGGTGTTTAAATCCCGAGACGTTGATGATCTTACTAATTTAACACAAATGAACCAATATTGTTTTGATGCTAACGTGGAAAGCTGCTGCTAATTTACCCGTAGATTGAGTATCATCAGCTTCCACAATTATTGTTCACCAAAGTTTTCGGGCGACCACGGGGTTCATTTTTCAGGGGTGGTGCGTTCGTTTGTAGTATTTGCTCCACAAACGTCGTTAATGTTGCGTGTCGTTTGAGCCGCGTTGCTGCCGCGACGGTACTTATATTCCTTAGTTTCTCGAATTTATAACGTATCCGATTCCGAAATTAATAACTAATTAAAAAAAAATTGTTCCATGTTTTTAAAACAAAATTAATTTGAAATTAGAATTCTTAGCCAAACAAAAATTATTTTGATTGGAAATGGCCAGTACTGCAGAACGGCAATTTCATAGGAAAAGCCCTATTATAAAAACATGAAAAGTAACCTTTGTACCTTTTTAAGTATATAGCGCGCACGGAGGTGTATGAGGTTTGACATAATTGATGTTTATATGGAGAAGGAAAATTAAGTTATACTATATGTTGCAAAAACATTAAATTAAATGAAATTAAACATAAATACGTTATGACAAATTAGGTCGTTTGTTAATAGACAAAAATGGTAAAAAGCGTTTATTTAATATTTTGTGTATTAAATTTCGGTGTTTTATACATATACGAGTACTAGCTGACCCGACAAACGTTGTTTTGGCATATAAATTATTTCTAGGAAATATTTTTTGGTTTTAAAACACGCGATAAAAGACTCGAGAAAAAACAGAGGTTGATCGTAGAAGGGTGAAAATTTGAAGATTTATGTATTTTTAATTGATTTAGCATACTAAAACAAAATAAAAATTTTTGACAAATTTAATTTTGAAAAAAAAATATTTAGGGGTGGGTCACCCTTATCATTTAGGGGTTTGAAAAATAGATGTTGGCCGATTCTCAGACCTACCCGATATGCACACAAAATTCCATACAAATCGGTTCGCCGTTTCCGAGGAGTTTGGTAACAAACACCGCGACACGAGAATTTTATATATTAGAACTAGCTGTACCCCGTGACTTCGCTCGCGTGTACTTTGGTTTATTTTCTTTTTAAGCGGAACACTAAATATTTTTCTAAAATAAAAGTAGCCTAAGTTACTCCTTATAACATTAGCTATCTGACAGTGAAAGTCCCGTCAAAATCGGTCCAGCCGTTTCGGAGATTAGCCGGAACAAACAGACAGACAGACCGACAGACAGATAGACGGACAGACAAAATTT